CACACACACACACACACACACACACACACACACACACACAACGCACGCGCCCGTCCACTTTTCTTTGTTTTCCTCTAGTTTTCTTCGGTTTTTTCCTTTTTTTTTTCCCTGGTTTTCCATTTGTTTTCCGTTTTTCATTCTTTTTCCTGGTCCTCTGCTACCTACCGGGCGTTCACCTCATTACCCGGCGCGACTCGGATTTCTAAGCTGTGAAAGGTACCGGTGGTTTAAGGAGTTTGAACTTTGCAGTCGAAAAGGTCATCATGCAAAAGGAGGAATGCGTAAACCACCCGTTCGGCCAAGGCGGCGGTACGCATCTGATATTTTTCACATCCAGTGTCCATAGAGTCCTAGTAGCTTCACCTGACTTAGACAATGTCAAGACCCATGTTTTAATAACCACCCATGCCTGGTTAATCCAGCAAGATAATAACCAGCCGTATGTGTCAAAGAGCCCTTCTTAGCCTTCAAAGCGCCTTGTGCCTCAGATACAGTTGGAGGGTTTAGACTTTGTAGTTGTTGACGCAGACTTGCTTTTTGTTGTCTGGCAGCTGAACACAACAGTCACATGATATGCACAGTGCAGCTTCACCTGACTTAGAGACAATGTCAAGACCCGTGTTTTATTTAGGAAAACCCCATGTTTTTTTTTGTTTTTTTTTTCCCCCTAAAATTTGGATCATTTCTCGATTTATGGGTGTCAAGCTGACAAAATGTCCTTTGGGACATCCGTTAAAAGTGGAACAATACAGAGAAGAGAGAAGATTACCATGGGCCCTGCGCTTTCAAGGATGACACGCATAGAGCGAGAAACGGTCCAAATTAAAAAAACAGAAAAAAAACAAAAAAAAAAAGGAAAAATGGAATGGCAAGAGAACAGGTGCAAAACGAATCGCCAAACAAAAAAACCTAAGGGACAAATGAAACACAAACACCGAAAGCATTTCTGTCCGAAAACATTTCTGCCGGTTGCAAAGACGTCACACTGAGTTGAGTTGGGTTGATCCGGATCGACATGCGACCCATGAAAAGCGCTTACATATGTCTTTGTCTTGTGATCCTGAAGCGAGCACTGTGCCGGCAGGATTGAATTTCATAGTGAATACTCCTGCCTGTTCCATGCAGAGACACCTATTAGTCAGAGGAGACAGTGATAAGCAGTAGCATGTCAGCAATAACCAGATGCCGACACATGTCTGCGGCACGGCTAGGCAGCAATGCACTTCGCCCCTTCACTTTTTTTTTTACTTTTTTTCCCCCCTTTTTTTCGTCGTCCCTTCACTTGATTTTCACAATTGTCTTCCATTTTCTTTCTTGCCTTTCAAGTTGCCTTCAGAGAAAAGGAGGTTGCCCTACTGCTAACTTTTTTTGTAGGGCACGACAACCTATACATTGTTTCTTCTTCTTTTTCTTCTCGTAACTGTGGCTCAGCAGTTCCACTCGTTTTAAGATTTTTATTTATTTATTTATTAATTTTTTGAGATAACATCATCCAAATGACCACCACCCCCAGGTAAGTCCCGACTTCATTCGTCTAGTTCCCAATCGGATTCAAACTCCGGGCTGCATTTCAACAGTTCGTCGGTGCACCAACTGAGCTAGGCTCCGCGGTTCCACTCATTTTGGATGATGGATGAAAATATTTTTCTCAGGTTAGCTCATTCCAACTCTCCCCTCTTTCTTGTTCTTCTTCCTTCCTCCACTTGTATACTTCGGGCGGAATATGCACCGACAAATGGAACCTCTTTCAAGCCCTGCCTGAGATTTATTAAGATCTTGCCAAGGAATGATACCTGGAGCACTGAGATGAGAGAGAGAGGGAGAGAGAGTCCCTGCACTGTGTAATCACTGTGTCTGGCCTTCACTTGTTTACTTATACGTAGAATGATAAGGATTAATAACGGTTATCACCGAACTTGACCCTCTGAAATTTCTGCGAAGTTATATTTATCTCGCTCCAGAATCAGATGATAAGAGTGAGATCATAAAATGCTTTTTTCATTCAATAAAGCGGCCATGTAAGTACTAAACTGTGTAGCACGGCGAACATGTTCGGGGGCTTCGCAAACACGCAAACATGTTCTCCGGTTCAGGAATTTGTTCGCTCAAATACATTCGCCCATAAGTGGGAGAACCTAGGCTGGTCCCCAGGCGGCCAGGCTGGGGGAAGGTCGCCCGGGTACCCTCCCGGGCAGGGTCCGGGCAGAGTCCCGGGCAGCCCCGACGCATAATATTTATAATTAAAAAAATCAGAAAATTCAAAAAAATCTGGGAAAAAAATATGTTGTGAAAAATTGCAGTACAAGCAACTTTTGGCTGAGGGTCCCCTCGAAATTCCTTTAATTTTAAGATAAACATAAATGAGGGGAAATGAGGTAAGATATACCCTTTTAAACCCCTCTAGTCACTGTTTAGAGTTAACTTTATACCCCCCAAACACCCCTGAGTGACCACCACCAAAACGGAAGGTAAGGCCGGATTCTGACTGCTCAGGCCGAGCACAGTCCTGGCCTGAAGTCAGTTTCTTCTTTTTGGGCATCCTTCCCTCTTTTTCTACCTGCCTGGTTTTGCCGCCCAATCCCCCCCCCCCGGCCCAGCTGGCCCAGGCATGCCTGGCCGGGCGACGGCCCAACCTAGCAAATTACCAAAAAAAAAAAGAAATGAAAAGGGACAGTAAAGCGAGCCAACCATGGACACGTTAGAATATACTGCTTTCTCTGCCGGGCTTGTTCCGTGCAGCAAATGCAAAAGACACCGGTACAATGAAGCAGATGGATAGATCCTTCTGCCGCTCTCTTTGCACAAACATAAGTGTTCTCGAGCCAGTTCTTGCACTTACAGCATGGCCTGAGAGTAGCATAACTGGCGCTTGCAGACTTGACGTTCGCCGGATATTGCTCTGCATAAAACCAAACACATATGTGCGCCAGAGAATGACTAAGAACATTCGATTCACAGTCCATTGGAAGGCAGAAGGTGGCCGAGTGGGGGGAATCACGGTGAGAGGGGAAGGAACAGAAAGAGAGGGGGGGAGGCGAAAATAGAAAGAAAGAGAGAGACAGAGAGAGAGAGAGAGGAGTGAAGGATCAATCAATGGCTACAAGCAAGACCTCAACCTCAGAGACCTTCCGTTAGTGAGTACAGAAATCCGGTTCCAACGAATAAGAGGACAAGGACGGAAATGCACCAGACACCCAAAAGAATAGATGGGTCACCCCTCTTCACCTAAGCTCCTGCATTGCTACAAAATTTCTCCCTACCATCTTCTCACCCAAATAGAACGCCCGATCATTATCGCTGCATCCGGACTGAAAATTCGCCCAAATACAGGGATAATGACCGGGTGTTCTATTCCGGTGAATACGGTAGTGCCCTACCTGCAATCAGAGGTGCAGTCACTAAACCTTCATCTTGCATGCATGGCACCTCCACACATCCATGTTTCTACATCCACGTTTCTACATCCGTGTTTCTACGTCCGCGTTTCTACATCCGCGTTTCTACATCCATCTTTCAGTTTGTGCAGGAGCATGGAAAACTCGAGGAAGACAGAAATGGAGTAAATTTTTTTCAAAACAGTGAAAACACTGAAAAGGGGATGGTGGCATGGCCGAAACTGTGAATGATCAAGTAGACACATAGATCGGACTGAAGCAGACAACGATAAAGTAGACACATGTTTCTACATCCATCTTTGAGAGTTATCCTGAACACATTGAATGGAAATGAAAGACTCGACATCCATCTTTCACATTAAGCAACGTTGTGGCCATCATTCCACTCAACCACATTTCGCATTCATCTTTCAGTTTGTGGCAGTTGTTCCGCTCAACGAAATTGCTGATCCTTGGTCAGAAATCAATACGGGTTCAATGATCGACGCAATAGCACAGCTCTTATAGTGTGAAAGTTAGTGAAACCCTTCTTCCTTCCCTATTTCATCATCTCCATCCCCCAAGAAGAGAGGGGATTAACACAATTGACCTCAGTAAGACACAGACACGGACACAGAGAGAGAGAGAGAGAGGGAGAGGGGGGAGGGGGAAGGGGGGAGAGGGAAAGGATGCAAGAGAGCAGTCAGAAAAGGTGTAAAACTGACTGTGATTCTGACGACGGAAGGGGAGCGATACTGCAGGAATACTTTAATTTGGATAAACGATCATTGAAATTTGGATATTTGGATGAACAATCATTGAAATTTGGATGAACAAAAACAATCATTAAACGGAGCAGCAGGTAGAAAGCCTAGTTCTGAAAAATAATGTAAAGTCACGTACATCCTTCAATGAGAGCAGACCTCTGCCATCCTCGATGCCTTGATCCCCATCTGTTCTCTGCCTTTTCACCATGGCCACCTGAAATTGCTGATGGTCGGTGGCCATATCTGCAGTCCTCTTTTGTGAATACATTGTGCTGAAACAATGTTAAAGATGACAGCAAAAAGAGAGAAAGAGAAAGAGAGAGATATGCCTTCTCTCCTCTCAAACCCTGCTCTATGCCCAAATGTCAATAAGGATCCCCTCCTTCCCTGAAATGAACACACACACACACACACACACACACACACACACACACACACACAGTCCAGAAAGAGCCAATCAATCAACTAATCAATCAACAAGAATGATGGTTCTTTCCTCCTTGTTTCCAGATTTGTATGATCAATTCATTAAGTGATCACCCTGAATTTTGCACTGAAAATTGTGAAAGGCATAGATCATGATGAATGTAATAGAATTAACAACAGAGGAACCCAATCAACTAATCAAATAGACACCAATTGATTAATTGATTCATTTCCTTGGTTAGCAGGACAGATGACGTGCAGTCCTTAGGCTGTTGTGATGCTGATCGAGATCTGGAGAACCGCATTGGCGGCCCAGATGCCGGGGTGCGAAACACGATTCTTTCCATTCGATAAGCGATGTAGACCTCCTCTCGGGCTGGGGGGGGCGTGCAAATCTTTGTGGCGCGTTAAGGTCGGCCAGAAAGGGTTTCATATCCACAGCTTCAAACACTATTCGTCAGTGCCTCCTCTAAAAACTCTAACCCCTCTCTCCCAAACCCCCCGTGTACCACCGAACAAGCCTGGATTCCAGCTCTTCATTCCTCACGAACTCCCTTCATACCCACATCCCGACCTGAGGACAGCTGTTGGTCGGCCTCTTGTGTCTTGTCCCGACTTCCCCACTTGCAGGTTGGCCTTGTGTGACTTGTCCCCCCCGGCTTTCACAAAGGTAGGTTCACCATCATCCCAGTCGAACACCCCCGCAACTGAGTGTTCTTGTGTGGGTTGGCCTTGTGTGACTTTTGTACAATCGGTTTTGTCCAGGCCTTGTGTGACTTTTTCTTCTTTTTTTTTTTAAGTTTTCATCATTTGATTCCTTGACAAAACCGATTGCACAAAAGTGATATCGAGGAGAGAGATGAAATGGTGGGATCCAAAAAAAAAAAAGAGAGAGAGAGAAAGGGATCCCCTTACAGGGTATAAGAGGAAAGAGACGCGGGAGGGAAAGAAAGGAGACCAGAGAATCAAAAAGATAGAACGCACACAACGAACACCGGCCCTGCATTGTATTACTAACAAACCATCGCTGGCCCCAAAATGTGTCTCCAAAATCAAAATGCGCAACTTCGCCACCCAAGCGTGGAGGCTTGGCAGAGGGGGGGGGAGGGGGGCGTAAGGGTTTGGCCATGACCAGCCAGTAGGGTTCGCGCTGAGCGGTTGGAGGCTTTTGGCAAATAGTATTTATTAAATGCACCCACTTTAGAGGTTTTGGGGTGCTCAGAAAAAAATTGACTGAAAAATTACGTTTTTTTAATGAAATGAATGCATCAGGAACATGGATCGAGTGCTCATCTTAATTGAAACAAAATTTTGAATTTTCTGCATTGCGAAAGAACATATTTTTCATAAACATTATGGAAAAACATGGACCGCCACATGAAAATTTTGTTTCGCAATTTCATTAAAAAAATATATGTTCTTAGCCCTGAGCCCCCCGGAGGTTTTCAGATTGGCTTGATTTCATATTTCTCAACTTTGCAGGGGCGATGTGCTGGCGGTTTTAAGCCCCCCCCTTCCCCTCCCCCCCTCTCACTTTCCTACCCCCAAACCTTCCTCTTTTCCCATCCTTCTCTTCCTGCATCCTCTTCTTCTCTATCACCTGTCCTTCTAATCAAATTAATCACCTCAAACCTAATGAACATCATTTGGGAAAGGAAGGAAGAATAAGAAAGGGAGGATACGACAAACAAGAGAGAAGGGCTACCAAGGACGTAGGCGGGTCAGGTCTGGAGGGGGGGGGGGACGTGCAATCAGGCGCTGGCACGTGGGAGCTTGGCCCTTCAAAAAGAGAGAGAGCCAGACAGAGAGAGAGGTATGAATAGAGAGAGAGAGAGAGAGGAGAAAGCGAGAGAGAGAGAGAGGGCGTGCAATCACGCGCTGCCACGAATCAATAAATGCCTTTCGTTCTCTTCTTCACCCTCCATCGCAGACTACCGGTAGCTGCCACTTCACTCCCAGGTCTTCAGATCATCTCCTCGATGCTAAATTCCTACCCCCTCGTATTGGCTTGTGATAAAACTTTTGCAGCTGGATCCGCTTTACAGGACGATAAATCCCATCACTGCATCGTCGCCTGCTCCAACTCTATCATTAGCTAATCATCAACCCATCTTCTGATCGATCATATAACACTCATTACTTTGTTGATTGGTTGATTGATTGATTAATTGACTGATTTGATTGACTGGGTGACTGATTTGATTGATTGATAGATTGATTGACTTGATCGATTGGTTGGTTGATTTGATTGATTGATTGATTGATTGATTGATTGATTGATGTCTGCCTATCCATTACACATATGTCTAGTAAGACCCACTCCGATCTACGTACCTATCCCAATATATACCTGTTTCTCTCTATCTAGTTTCCAAGAAACCCTAATTTATTCATTGACTGTTTGCCTGTCTTCCAATCTGTAAGGTTCTCTTCTATATCCGTGCGTCGGCTTGTGTCTTGGTCGTTCTCCATTTCCCTTTCCTGATGGTTTTGCATAACCAGGTGGTCGCTTTTCCATAGCCTGCGCAGTCACACATGCAAATAAACACAAGTCACACGTACACGATTCTTCTTCAGATCGTGATCAACTACTATTTCGCTCCTCCCACTTCATACCTACTGTAGGCAAAACACATTCATCCCATGATTGCCTGTTTGCTTTGTTAATCACGTCAGATTTCCACTTAATGCTTGATTAACTCTATAATTGCAAGATTCATCAGCTCCGTTTTCGATTCGTAAGGAGCTGACAGACGACTACGCCAAGAGAGAGAAGAAAAAAGAGGGAGACAGAGGGGGAGAGAGATAATGCAACGGAGTTATAGGGAGAGGGAGACCGAGAGATGAAGGCGACAGAGGAAGAGAGGGAGAGAGGAAGGAGGAGAAAGACGGATACAGGGGAAAGGGGGAAGAGAGGGGGTAGAGAGAATCACTGACGAGTTTCAGACGGGGGGACAGAGAGAAAGAGCATGAGGGAGAGAGGGAGAGAGGGAGAGGGAGGGAGAAGGAGAGAGGGGGGGAGAGAGAGAGCATGAAGGAGAGGGAGGGAGAGGGAGAGGCGGAGAGAGGGAGAGAGGGAGAGAGGGGAGAGAGGGAGAGAGGGGGTAGAGAGGGAGAAGAGGGAGGAGAGAGAATCACTCATAAGACGGGGAGCGAGAGGGAGAGCGAGGGGTTGAGACAGTCACTGATGACCGTGGACCAGAAAAAAGGAAATTCTCGTTCTCCCTCCCTCTCTCTCTCTCTCTCTCTCTCTCTCTCTCTCATTTCCGGATCGACCAAGCAGAAGGGTTTAAGGGACCAGCGAACTAAGTTGTCCGAGCCAGTATCCCGACACGGAAATTATTCTGCGTTGAATCGCCGGTATCCCGAAACCCAGGAGGCCAGGCTGGGTTAAGTCGCGGACGTATTTCACCACAATCCGTGCCAGATTCAGTCCAAAAAATCCTACCCTTCTTACCCCCAATACAACGTACGGTCATTATAGCTGCATTTGGGGCATCTTTCAGTCTAAATACACCGTAGGTGTCTATAATGACCGTACGGTAGCGCGCTAACTCGCGGACAAGACTCGGGACGACGAATAAATCCGGAGTCCCGACCGAGGGTTTCGATCAGCTCGGAGGATCGGGATCGCTGGCGGACCAACCCGCTACTGCACTGTGGAGGGCAAAATACACTGCTGAGTCTGTGCTGACAATTCCGTACTCAATTAATTACTGTAATACCCCTTTGGGTTTCGTACCCTAATTGCTGTAATACCCCTTTGGGTTTCGTACCCAATTAATTGCTGTAATACCCCTTTGGGCATTTAACTTAGAGAAGATGTTCCTGGTCGCAATTTCGGCGTTTTTCTTGAATAGAAATCGTCAGGGCTTACCGGGTTCCCGCCAGTAGGATCTGACTTCACCCATTTCCGTTCACAAAAGGCCGAAATCGCGACCAGGAACGTCTTCTTCTAAGTTAAATGCCCAAAGGAATAATGATACCAATCCTAGTTGTGATGATAACTGCTGCAAATACTCATTGACAGCGGCTGGGACTCTCTATCTAATTACTGTAAGCAATACCATCCATCCATCTATCCATCAATCAACATTCCAAAGAGAAAGTTCTACAGATCTGCAAGCAAGCCATCATCGACGACGGAGACCACCTTACCTTCTGCATCAATGATCTACCGCCGCAGCTGACCAGATGATTGGCTGACCTGACCTAGTGGATTAGATTGACCTGCTGTGCCAATCAATTAGGGTCTGTTCCTAGCTGGAGGATTAATCCACCAGATACCCCCCCTTCCCCCGCCCCCCCCTTTCTAGTTCTAGGGAGTTAATTT